TGATTCTTTTAATGCTTGCGGTTGGAATAAATGAGTATCAAAAATAATAAAACGAGCATCAAATTAATATTTGATGATCCATTTTAATACTTTGTCATTGAAGTTGCTCTTACGTATCAAAATTGTATCAAATTATTCATTTTAAAATAATTTTGTTAACGATTGACGAAAACAAACTAAAATACGAAAATTAATTCTTTAATAAAGGATATTGTGGTAACAAAGAAAAAAGGATATTTCCGTTTAATTATGGAATATTTTGATTTCTCTCTATATTTTTTGCTAATATTTTTTCGTACTCCAAAACACTAGACTATTTGGTTTTACGTAGCTTTACTTGAGAAGGTAAATTGGTAAATATTTATCTTATTTATTTTACGAGAAATACGCTCTAAGAGCAACTCCAATCGGGTTATTAAATGGGTTGTTAAAATCCTTAACCATCATTTTGATAATTCAAATTAAAAAATTGGCACTCCAATGAAATTATCAAATGAGGTTTTATTTTGTTAATTTAATTATTCGCATATAAAAATAAATCCTGGATAAATAATATCAACTGGAAGTTTACATAATTTAACAACCTAATCCAATGCTAAACATTAAAATTGAATTATAAATACCCATTTGATAATCAAGATAATATTTTAGTATCCATTTATACTTTATCTACTCCAACCATGGTTATCAAAATTAATAATCAATTGGAAGTTTTTTGGGCGAATGACAAAAAGGCCCATCACATGGGACTTAAATGCATTTTGGTCCACAAAAAAAAAAACAGTCTTTCAATTAAACTCATTCCCATGTCTTTAGTCTAAAATACCCTCCATAATATAATTCTTATCAATTCCACCCATTATGTTCTAACTTCCTCAATATTACACATTGATCCCGGATTTAAACAAATATATCACATTAACCCCCAATTTTTTTTCACAAAATAATTATTTTTCTGAAATGTTTTTTTTTTCCGTTCAGATTCCGGCGTTGAATTTTTTTTATTTTTTTTTTTTTGAAAACTTTTTTTTTCTTGGAATCTTTTTCCGGTCGGTCAACCACCGTTGACCACCGGACTCCGGCGTTGACTTTTTTTTTTTTTGAATTTTTTTTTCTTAGAATTTTTTTTTTTAATTAATATTACTGTCTTGGCTACTAAATTACTGTCTCAGACAGTAATATTACTGTTTGTGACAGTAATATTATGAATATTATTTTCCCGAACAGTAATATTGTTAATATTATTGTGTCGGCTCCGACAGTTAAAAAAAAAATTCAATTAACAGTTAAATTATTGTCTCCTACAGTTAAATAATTAATGGAGACAGTAATTTAGCAACGAATACAGTAATATTAATTAAAAATATTTTTTTAAGAATAAAAAATTCAAATAACAGTTAAATTACTGTCTTCGACAGTTAAATAACTGTTGGAGACAGTAATTTAGCAACGAATACATTAATATTAATTAAAAATATTTTTTTTAAGAATAAAAAGTCAATTAACAGTTAACTTACTGTCTCCAACAGTTAAATAACTGCTGGAGACAGTAATTTTAGCAACGAATACAATAATATTAATTAAAATATTTTTGAAGAAAAAAAAAGTCAATTAACTATTAAATTACTGTCTCCGCCAGTTAAATAACTGCCGGAGACAGTAATTTAGCAGCCAAGACAATAATATTAATTAAAATATTTTTTTTAAGAAAAAACATAATTATAAAAATAAAATAAAATAAATAATAAAAATGTCAACGCCGGAGACCCGGCGGTCAACGGCAGTTGACCGGCCGGAAAAAAAATTTCAAGGAAAAAAAAAAAAAGTCAACGCCGGTCAACGGCGGCGGCTGGCGGTCTCCGGTGGTGGCAGGTCAAAATTGAAATATGGTTAAAATTGGTTAATTGATGAAATTGGGCTAAATTGGGGTGTAAATCATGAAATTGGAGTTGAATTGGGTTTCAATGAATTGGGAGTAATTTTGGTATATATAAAGGGATTTTCCTTATTTGCAAATAAGTTTGAATGTGCTGGATTTATTTGAAAAACAAAAAAGTTGGATGTCCCTCTTTTAATTAAGTGCCCTTGTCATGGGCCTATTTGCCATTTGCCCTAGTTTTTTAGTGGTTTTATTTTGTAATTGCCACGTGTCATCTGTGTATATTACTCAATTTTCAGGATGTATTTTTACATACAAAGATGTAGAATATCAAAATACTTACCCATTTTGATGCTCCCATTGGAGTAGAGATTTTTAATTTTGGGATATCTAAAAGGTGGTTTATGGGTTTGATAATACATTAATACTCACATTGGAGTTGCTCAACCAATTAGGATATGACTAGGGATGGCAATAGGTACGGGTTTGCCGGGTTTTAGACCCGGAACCGACCCGTTTGGGGCGGGTCTAGGTAAGTTAAATTGTTATGTGTCGGGTAATGGGTTTAAATTTTTAAACCCGGTCGGGTTACGGGTCTTATTGGAACCAACTCAGAACCGACCCATATAAATATATTATATTTTATAATTAATCTATATAGAAAAACTAATTTATGTTTCATTTATCAAACTTTCAATTTTCATCGTGTCTATTCTCAGTGACCTGTTTTTCACCATTTCATTTTATTTAATCTCATTTCTCGTAGGTAAAATCTATCAATTGTCGACTTCTTGCCTTTTGAACATTATTTATCGTAGAAGTTAAATATAATTAATCATATAATTTTATTATTCACTTTATATCACTTGTACAAGTATTTTAAAATATTGTATTTTAGTTTTTAGATTATTTTGTTAACATATAGAAGCAAAATATTATGAAAGTTAAAAAATAATAAACTTTTTTTTTATATTAACGGGTCTAACGGGTCTGGCGGGTCAGAACCATTTTATTAAATATATGATTCCTTTAATTATTTTTAAGTAAGAACTATTTGATACCTATGATTGGAGGACAAAAGAATATTTAGGTATCAAACTAAAATATCAAATGTTTAATAAATATTTGACATCTTATTTTAGTATTTTTTTTTTTGTTGGAATTGCCTAAATAAGAAGATTTATGTTGGAATAATTAGCAAATGATGAGTTTGGGATAATATCGGGAGGCGAGTGATGTAATTGATGCATTTCAAAAAATAAAGGACTAAAGATGAAATATATACTTAAGAGATTTCTAATTACATTTGACTAACCACACGATTTGATTAACAGTTCTTTCAATTCTTTATCCGGTGATAAATATTGGGTGTGTCTTCCGCTGACACGTGTTATATTTTATTATTTATTATATATTCCCCCCACTAGGGTTAATCTATAGGGATTTTAGAAGAATATAAAAAAATACACGTGTCAGCAAGAGACTCACCTGATGTTTATCGATCACCAGGTGTAGGCTCGAAGGAACATTCGATCAAGTGCAAACAATAGCATACAAATAAGGGACAATTACGGTCATCCCCTTGAGGTATGGCCAAAATACGAAAAAACCCCTATTGTTTGGGTAATTACAACCACCCCCTCCTTTTAAATAATTTTACAATAAAAATTTATGTAATATGGTTATTTACCGAACGATATCGTATATTTAGTTCGGTAAACGTTATGAATGTTGGCGTACCGAAATTTCGGTTCAGTTTTATCAATTTAACATCCCAAAATTTACCTTTAGAAGGGTTTTTTCGTAAGATAATACATAGTTGAGAGGTGACTGTAATTATCCAAATGTGAGGGGGTTTTTGTAATTTGACCATAATTCAGGGGTGGCCGTAATTTGCCCGACAAATAAGGAGAAATTTGAGGCACACGTATGGTGAGAACTGTAGGAGAAATCCAGACCTTTGCTCCAAAAGGCAAAATCTCTCGCCCCTAGTGTCCCCATCCTTTGGCGCGACAAGTATTTGATGGAGGAATGTAAATCATGATAAATCAACGGCCCCATAGGGTAGCGGACCCGGACTTGGTGCCCACAAGGAATCAACCATCATTGGAGTTGGAATTGTCACACTGCGGCTACCAGGATTCGATCGTAGATCTTTACTGCAACTTACCACTCCCGAAACCAGTTGAGCTACACCCGTGCGGGCAAAATCCAGAACTTAAATTAAAGGGAGGGAGGATGGACTTAAGAAAAAAAGTAGAGTAACTAGCAATTAGTACCGTTGTGTTATCTCAAACTGCACAAAAATCCCATATGTAAAATAACTAGCAAAAAACCCCTTGTAAATTATAAGTCAAAGCCAAAAAACTCCCCGTAAAACTTAGAAATGACATAAAACCCTTCTATTCATTTAATTAATATATCAACTAAAAATATAAACAGTGTTAGTTTTAGGTACCCAATTGCAATATCTATAATTTCCTAATAAGCCCTAATCACCCATGCACAACGGTCTCTCATACAACCTATACTAAGGGCATTTCCAATGGTAAGCTAAATGAGTCTTTAAATTTCATTTTAAATACCGAGTTAGAGACTCGAAGTCTCTAATAGTAAAAGTCATCTCCAATAAGGAGTTCTATAAAATTAATTTCATTTATCAATTTATAAATTATTTCATACTATAAATGCATTTATAGTTTAGTTTCGTACATTAAATTTTCTATTGTTATTTTTCATTTGCATTATCTTAATTTTTTAATATATGTATCACCTACAAAGAGAAAATATTTTGTTTATTTTCTTATTTCAAAAAACAAAAATAATTTTTTAAGCAACAAAAATAAATATTTCAACCACAAAAGTATAAATTTGATGTTCTTATTTTTTAGTAAAATCTCTAAAACATGGAGACTTATTGAGTTTAGAGACTCAATTATTGGAGATGCCTTGACGGTATTTTAGACTTAAGACATAGAAATGCGTTTATTTGAAATACTGTTTTTTTATATGGACCAATTTGTATTTAACTACATCAATGTCCCTTTGCTATTTGTCCACACATATATATATATATATATATATATATATATATATATATATATATATATATATATATATATACATTATAATATTAATGACCATAAAACACATATAAAAATGCCTTATGTTAAGAGCATCAAGAATTTGAATTGTGCATGCATTAATATTTCTCCTCCCCCGCCATCTTCAAGCAATACTGCTCTCCCCCCACCGCCGCCTCCCAACCAGCAAACTTCCTGCCCACCTCCTCAACACACCACCGCACCGCCGCCGCCACCGGAAACACCTGCATCTCCGCCATATTATTTTCATCCATCGCCAAAGTCACATCCCCCATTATATCCTCCTCTATTAGCTCCACCACCACCTAATAATTACTTCTCACCAGTTCCCAGTTCTCCGCCATTTAATGCTCTTGAAACAGGCGGCATCGGCGGCGGCGGCAGCAACCACCACACCACCTTAATCGCTGTTTGCGCTTCTTTAAGTGGCGCTTTCTTTCTCGCATTCCTCTCTGTTGGCATTCTTTTCTCAGCAAAGAAAATAATGAAATTGCCTACTAACGTGAATCCAAACCCTGCTCCACCAGCCGCCGGGACTCAGTCTCAAAGAGCTCCCGGCGCTGCCCCAAAATATACTTATGCTCTTGATCAAGAAACTACTGGCGGCAGCGGCAAAGAGACCGGTGGTAGAGTTGATCATGAAGCTATTAATACAAAGGGGAAGGGTAGTTTGCCTGAAGAATTAACCGAACCAGCCAGAGGAAAAGATCATGGCGGCCGCCCAGCCTTGCCGGAAAAAGGTAACGGAGGTGACCAAGGTAAGACTACATGGGCTGGTGAAGGTGACTTGTCTAAAGAACCTACTACTGAACCACCACCACATGGAGGAGAAGATGGCAGCTCTGCCGGGCTAGAAAAAGTTGATGGAGGCGGTGGTGATGAAGGAATTACAGATACAAAGGCTGCTGACGGAGATCTGCCTGAAGGAGCTACTGAAGCGGACGGAGGAGAAGATGGCGGCTCAGCCCCGCCGGAAAATGTTGATGGAGGCGATGGTGATGAAGGTATTACAGATACAAAGGCTGCTGACGGAGATCTGCCTGAAGGAGCTACTGAAGCAGACGGAGGAGAAGATGGCGGCTCAGCCCCGCCGGAAAATGTTGATGGAGGCGATGGTGACGAAGGTATTACAGATACAAAGGCTGCTGACGGAGATCTGCCTGAAGGAGCTACTGAAGCAGACGGAGGAGAAGATGGCGGCTCAGCCCCGCCGGAAAATGTTGATGGAGGCGATGGTGACGAAGGTATTACAGATACAAAGGCTGCTGACGGAGATCTGCCTGAAGGAGCTACTGAAGCAGACGGAGGAGAAGATGGCGGCTCAGACGCCACAGAAAAGGTTGATGGAGGGGAAGAGAACACTCGGGCGGATAACCAAGGTACGTTAAGGGTGAAAATTGGAACAAAATTTTCGATTTTGCAACGCTAAAGAAAACTTTGATTATGATTTTTTAATAGAAATTGAAATTGAAATATATATATATATATATATATATATATATTGTGTGTGTGTGTTTGTGTGTGAAATTCTTATTTCATAAAATTAAATAATGCCGAAGTTTTCTATTTATTTTTGGGTAAATTATAGGTACTCTAATGTATGACCAAATAACTTACACACCTATGTGGTATCGGTAGTTATAAAACCCCTCAACTATTGCTCTAGCATTTTTTTTTTTGAAAACTTTTTCTTTCTGAATTTTTTTTTCCGGCCGGTCAACCGCAGTTGACCATCGGTTTCCGATATTGACTTTTTTTCTCTAAATTAATGTGTTAACAACAAAATTATTGTCTGAGATTGTAATGTGAATGTCAAAATAGTAATATTATTAATATTACTATCCCAAACAGTAATATAACTAATATTATTGTCCCAAACAGTAATACTACTACAGGAGACAGTAATATTACGGTCGGAGACAGCAAAATTGCAGGCGAAGACGATAAAATTAATAAATACAGTAATATTATTGTCTTGTATGCAATATTACTGTTTGAGACAATATTACTGCATGACAAGACAATAATGTTAATGAAAATAGTTTTTTTTCTTAATTCAAAAAGAAAAATCAACGCCGGAGACCGACGGTGAGGATAAATGGTCAAAATTGGTTAATTGGTAAAATTGAGCTAAATTGAGGTGTAATCATGAAATTGGAGTTGAAATAGTATTTCAAAGAGTTTGGGGTAATTCTGATATATATATATAAAAATATTTTTCTTATTTGCAAAGAAGTTTGAATAAGGTGCGCATTTATTTGCAAGACAAAAAAGTAGGATGTCTTTTTTTTAATTATATATTTACTTATTGTAAAACTTTAATAAAAACTCTTAATTTTAAAGTTGAGATTTTTAAAACATAAATTTCCAAATATTTTGAATATCTTTTGAAAAAACTTTTAAAACATTTTATTATTGTACAAAAAATAAAAAAAAAATAGAAAAGAATAATAAATAAATGGCCAACCAATCACTCATTGTTTACCCGACAAAGTCGGTTGCCAACCATTATCCAACCATAAAATCGGGTGGTCGGGTCGGGCAAGTAATTGGCCGATAATTACCCGACCCGACCCATGCCCTACCTTAAGAGTACTGTACTATCCATAGAAAGTTCTTGCAATAATTTGTTTTATTAATACTATTAATTTTATTTATTTGTATTATATTTATTCCCTTTTTTAGGTTTAAACACACTTTGCACCCCTGAAATATATCTTATGCAACACTTACCCCTTTAAAGTATTATTTGTAACACTTACACCTCTCAACATCAATTATTATTTTTTTTTGGATAAATTATGAAAAACCCCCTAAACTTAGGAGGCTAAATAACAAAAAACACCCTCACCCATCCGTAATAACCAAAATTCCCTTTTAATTAACTATTGATCGAGTTTTTAACAGAAAATGTGTAGAGTCTATTATACCATCTTTAAAATAGGTGAGAAATAAAAGAAATTATCTGAAATTGTGTAAAGTTATTCCCTGGAATAAAAAAAAATCCGTGTAAAGTCACACTGGAAGGGGTTGGTGTAAGACAGAAACAAACCTCAGGGTTTTTTGGTAATTACGAATATGTGGGGTGTTTTTCGTTATTTAGTCTAAGTTCAGGGTTTTTTTTTTCATAATTTACCCTATTTTTTAAATTTAAAACATAATAAACATTACAAGCTGATAATTATTGAATCATAAAAAAATAGAAAAGTAACTAAAATTAAATTATAGAAAAAAACTAATTAAAAGTAATATATATTGGTATAATAATGAATGAAAATATATTTTAAGAAATTAATGAACTAAAATAAATTTAAATACTTAAGATTACTATTAGTTATGCATTGATTTCTTAAAATTTGTCGATATGAATATATTCGATTAATTGGACTAACAACATTTAGATGTTTTTTGTTAAATATGTACCCAACGCTATATAGTTTTAAAATTTAAAATATTGCATTTTTCAACAAATATTTTTCATTGTATAATATAATTTTTCTTTTAGTTATTCATGTCTATAAAAGAGAAAAAAATTAGGTATTAGAATCTAAAATACAAATTAAATTGTGTGCTTAAGGAGATAAGTGTTACAAATGATAATTTAAGGGGCAAGTATTATAGATGGTATATTTTAGGGGTGTAAACTGTATTTAATTTTTGTTTTCAACCCACGATTATCATCATATTCATTCTTTAACTTAAAAGTATATTTGCATCTCTTTATACGATAAAAATGCCTAGTTGAAGTCATTTGCTGACTATGATGCGCGAAAACTTCAACCCACACGCGTTTCCACGTTTCGCAAACTTTTCGGAAACCGTAACTCCATGATACCTGTCGGAAACATTTTGGAGCTGTTTTCATAGATATTTAAAAGTTTCGTGGATGTTTCTGATAATAATGAAAAATTGAAAACGCGTTTCCAAACAAACTAAATCCAAGTTTCATTTTCAATAAACTACGAATTGCATACGCTTAAAAAGATCTTAAATATTATGTCTCCTTTTCACTTTTTGTGGTGTTTTAATATTTTTGTAGAGGTTAATTCCACAGTAAAATAAATTTATATGCCCCGAATTAATTTGTGGAAAGATATTAAATATTATAATATTTTTTTAGAAATTATGAATGAACCCCCTATATTTTTATTATTTACGCATTTCCCCCACGTCCCGTATCCAACTTTTTGAAAAACAGAGTTTCCCCAGGTCCGTTTCCATGTTTTCCCATGTCCGTGTTCCCATTTCCGTGCTACATAGTTTATTGATATTTGAACAACTATTAATATTATATTTAATAAAAAAAAATTTCTTCCATAGTAAGAAAGGCGTTGAAGATCGGAGGAAAGAAAATCGCAGCATTAACAGAAACAAAGGCCACTGGACGAGGACGAGGACGAGGACGAGGATCACCCTCAACCTCAGCTAACAATCAGATGATTGAGAAAACTGGAATCACCATGTTTGGGTTTGTCGACCAAGACATTCTCTCTCCAACTAATGATCATAATCTTCAAGCCGGCGAATCTTCGGATACTCATCCAACTGATGATCAGGTCGACGAATCGAGCACTCCAACTGATCATCATCATCAGGTCGACGAATCGAGCACTCCAACTGATTATCAGGATATTGATAATTCCAATGCTGACAATTCGAAAAACGAGGTTACGGATGAACAGTTCCACTCGGACCTCACCGAGGTAAGAAATTTATTTTCATTCTGATTTCAGTTCATAAAATTTTGGGTTTAATTAATTTATTTGAGTATGAAAAAGGAGAATATTTGGAAGCATTCCAATTTTGTTTTCGTTGTTTCCCCAAAACGAAATTGTATCCGTTAAGTTTTCCAACAAAAAAATTCTCAACACAATTCCAAAAGTTTCTATATCCTCCAAACATGATTCTCCTATATTAAAAAAATAAAATAAAAATCACTTCTTTTTTTCAAATTCTTCTTATAAACCACATATTTTTATGAGCTTTAGACATTATTTGACTGTTACAACGTATTTTATTAATTTCAAAATATAAACAAACATTACTTTTATTCCCATTTTGATACGATCTCTTGTGTATCATAAATATTTCCTACGAAACGTAAGATCTATTCTTTAATATTTCTCTCAGCATAATCAAAACCCTAGCACAATACGACTATTTAAAGAGAATAAAACCCTAGAATCCTAATCTAACTAGGAAAGATAATTACCTATACTAATTAAATACCTAATAATCTCCTAACCATTACTAACTCACGGCCATCTATAACCCTAAACAACTATTCTATTTATTTAATAATTAAATAATGACTAACTAATAATTAACGATATATTAAATAATAATATATTGTATCAAACCACCCCTCTTGAAATGAACCTTGTCCTCAAGGTTCCAATAATTGCAGCTCTCTCTTTTGCGCTTCCACCTGTGTTTGACTACATCGAATTGTGTCCCGAGTGAATCCGAAAAACATGACGAACGATCAAGATTTTTACCACATTGTTTAGGTTGATCGAACGAACTCCTCAAGGCTTTTGGAAAAATTCTCAATATTTTTCCCGATAAATAAGCCTCTTCAATTACCTTTCCAGATTCCGGTTCATTCACAATCACCAATTCTTGTTCGTCTTTTTTCCTTTCAACAACATGGAAATCTCCCAATATCCATTGTAGTTCTTCATTTTCATCTGTGGTTAATTCCTCATCTTCGTCCCAAATTATCTCCGTTAACTTCGATTCTTCTTCTTTCGTCTCCTCGTCCCACTTTATATCAGTTGAATCTGATTCTTCTTCTTCCGGCAAACTCACAAAAAATTGGGGTTCTTTGAAAAAATCACCGTCGTCCTCTTCCTCATCCTTTTGCGGTAGGCTTGGCATTGGCGGCGGCGGTGGATCTTCGAAAAAGTCATCATCATCCTCGTCCTCTTCCTCCGGCGATAGGCTCGGCGGCGGCGGTAGTGGTGTTGTTGGTCGGCGGTGGCGGTCTCTTCGGCTCTTATGTTGGCGCCGTCCTTGACTTTGTTCGAGCAGTTTTTGGAGACCAATCCGTATCTCCTCCACGGATTTTTCCAATCGCTCTAAACGTTTTCTCTCGGACGACATAATTTCGCAAAGTGTTGATGTAATCTCAACTTTGCTCCAGCGTAGCTTTGATATAATCTCTGCCTTGCTAACGAAGCGTTGGTGTTAATCGCAACTTCGCTCTGATACCAATTGATGCGATCTCTTGAGTATCATAAATATTTCCTACGAAACGTAAGATCTATTCTTTAATATTTCTCTCAGCATAATCAAAACCCTAGCACAATACGACTATTTAAAGAGAATAAAACCCTAGAATCCTAATCTAACTAGGAAAGATAATTACCTATACTAATTAAATACCTAATAATCTCCTAACCATTACTAACTCACGGCCATCTATAACCCTAAACAACTATTCTATTTATTTAATAATTAAATAATGACTAACTAATAATTAACGATATATTAAATAATAATATATTGTATCACATTTTTTTTCTCAAAACACATTTTCTCAAAATAAAATGATTCTGACCTACTTCCAAACCAGTCTTAATATATATATATATATATATATATATATATATATATATATATATATATATATATATATATATATATATATATACATATATATATATATATATTATGTTGAAATTGATTATTTAGAATGGCAATCCCAGCTATACAACTTTTGTTTTGGATACATGCAAATATTATTTTTTAGGGTTCGGGTGATGCGATGAGCCGAGTATCGGAGCTCCAGCCACAAACACAAGGAGTTGGTCGGAAAATATTGGTGGCTGATCATCAGTCCCACAAAAAGAAAGCACAACAACACTCGAAAAACACAAAAGGAAAGAAAGTAGTGCCACACATGCAGAAGTCGAAGTTCCCGAAATCCAGTGAATATCAGGTCCCTCCTTCGGTGCATTATTACTACCATGGCTTTGATTCATGTCTTAAACAGATTTCGGCCCATTTGGCGGCAATTCTCGATCGCGATGCTGGACTAGACGATTTGCCCCAACAGCCAAATCAAGGAGAGGACGAGCAAGTTAAAGAAGAGGAAGCGCAAGAAAAAGAAGCAGAAGAGGAAGCGCAAGAAGAAGCAGAAAAAGAGGAAGAAGAAGAAGAGGAAGAGACCGAGAATCCCACATGAGTATTTAAATTTGGGCAAAGTACAATTTACACCCCTGAACTATAGGGGTTGTACCAGTTTGTCCACTTGAACTACAAAATGTCTCAAATGCCCCTCTCCAGTTTATGGTCAACCGTTAAATTTTTAACATCTTTATTCAGAATGTGCAATTACTTCTATGCCTTTTGGGGTTTGCTGTAAGAAACTTAATAATTGTATAATTAGTGTGTGTTGTATTTGTCGATTTTGTTATGAAATTGTGATTGAAGTGAACTTAGTGTTTACGTGATTTCCTTAACTATGTTTAATTATTGGGAATTTCTTATTTTAAGGATTGATTTTGTAAGTATAGGTATATTCTTTTTGTTTTTGGGGACAATATATCAGCTAACTGTCCTTTGTTCAATTTTGTGCATTTTTTTTATGCCCTTCATTAAATGCATAACTTTTGAAGTCATTTACGTACAGAAAAACATGTCTTCTAACATGCAGTACAAGAATTTCGTTGCGACTCGACATTTAAAAAAAAAAGTTTGAAGAAAAAAACAACGGTCTTTTAATGGTTAAATAAGGAAAAGAAAAGGGGGAAACGAGTAAAAGAAAACCGAAAAATATGGAGCAAAAAAACATGACAAAAGGCAGCAATTTAGTAAAAAACAATAACCGAAAAAAAAGTCGGTGAAAGAGCTTTATATATATACAGTAGAACCTCCATAAACTAATACTCAATAAATTAATAACCTCACTTAAATAATATTTTCTTTCGGTCCCAACTCGATAAAAACGCATTAAATTATTGATCCCATAATTTAATATTTCGCCAAATTAATAGAATTTTATTAATCCCGACTGTACGGTTTATATATATATATATATATATATATATATATATATATATATATAATTGAATAGAGGTGCAAAATAGTAAGAAAATGTCCGAGGGTGGAAAAATATGGTTAGAAATCATAAAATCAAAGGGTCACATCAGCATTGACAAATATAAAGTTAAACACAGGAGAGTATTTGAGACGTTTTGTAGTTAAGGGGGCAAATTGGTACAAGCCTCGTAGTTTAGATGTATTTATGGTTTAATATACCTTACACCCCTAAAGTATATCCTATATGTAACACTTACCCCATTCAAATATCATTTGTAACGTGAAATGCTTTTTGGGGTATGAAAATTGCAATTTGCAACTCATTCCCCAAAAAAATATTTCACTCTCTAAAAAAAATTCTCTCTCTAAAATAAAGGAAAAAAAATTCAAAAAATTCGAATTGAAGAAAAATTAAGCCAAATTCTTCCAAATTTTCAGGTATTTTCAACTCCTAAACGTTTTAATTGTATTGGGTAGGAAATTTCGGTTGTAATTGCATGTTAAACAACCCTAAAAATCGAATTTTATGGCTGTTTTTTGGGGATAAATGCGCACAATGAACGCCCAAACCGGGCGTTCACCAACATTTTCACGCCCGGTTTGGGCGTGCAAAATACTGATGAACGCCCGATTTGGGCGTTCGGTTACAGTATGGATGCCCGGTCTGGGCGTCCGGTCTGGGAATGGGCGCCTGGTTTGGGCGCCCGGTCTGGGCGTTCAACAGTGTTTTTCTTTTTTCTTCTTCAATTTTACTTATTTCAATATTTTTTTTTATAATTTCAGTTTTACTTATTTCAATATTTTTTTATAATTTCAATTTTACTTATTTCAATATTTTTTTTTATAATTTCAATTTTACTTATTTCAATATCTCTTATATTTGCAGGATGTCTAATTGGAAGGGGCCTATGATTCGTTCCCCTGCGGATCCGGTGGAGGAATCTACTGCACAACGAGAGGGTAGAACACATAACCGAAAGGTTACTAGTTCTACACGGCGTGGCAAAAGAACAGTGATTTTTAAACAACCACGAGCACTTGCGGCGATAGAGGCGGAGGCCAAGGCAGAGATGAATGCACATATGGATCCGCAGGAGGACGAGGATGACGCAGGAGTACGTTTTCAGGGGCAGTATTATTTTCCGACTCCTGATTTTTCATTAGATGACGATGACGAGGACGATCCGACTCCGCCTCCTATTTTGACTAGAGCTGCTACTACTTTCAGTGGTTCTACGTGTCCAAAATCATAAATCCCGCCCCTCTCGGAAACCTAAGGTTTCTTCTCGACCTTGGCGGTTGACTGGCAGGGCACCCGGTGGACCTAAGCTGCCTGAGTTGATTCCAAGTTTCGGAGCACACGTTGCCTACGACATCTGAGAGGGAAAGGTAATACTTATTAATTTTAATAAATTTTATTTAAGTGTTTATACTTAATTGTGTTATACTTAAATATGAATATATATTGAACATGCACGACATATGCTTAAGTTGCGGTCGCACGACAAGTCGACTTGGTCGGGCCCCATCGATGTTCGTTCTGTTTCACTACTAGAGAGTACGGGCTTGTATCACCTGCGTGATTGTTCTCTCCCTCAGAATAATAATCCACTGATCGAGGCTTTTATTGAGAGGTGGCAGCCAGACACCAACACTTTTCATATGTCGTTCGGAGAGATGACAATTACTCTCCACGATGTGCATTACATAATGCATTTGCCAGTTAGTGGACATGACCCTAACACTAACATGGATAAGGCACAGGCGATTGAGGCATGTGCGAGAGCATTTGGTATTTATGTACAATGCACTTATGGAGCTGTGGTGGTACGGTGGTGGCCTCGGTTAGATGAGTTGGATATGATGTAAGGCAACAATCCTACGTTTCCACCCGAGTTTCGCGTACGAGCATATATCGCTTACTTGCTCGGAAAACTTTTGTTCGTCGACAAAAGTGGATCGAAGATGAAAGAATAATTTTTCCAACTTTTAGAGTACATCGATCTGATTCACTAGTATTCTCGGGGTTCTGCTACATTGGCATTTTTGTACCGATAGTTGGGTGTGGCTTTCAAAGCTGAGGCAGCGCAGATTTGTGGTTGTTTGACGCTGTTAGATGTACTTTTTAATTTTTATTAATCAACAAACTTTTTTATTAATAAGTTTTGATGTTATGTTTAACATTCCGTATTATTATTCATGTAGTGTTGGATATATGAGTATTTTCTGTGTTTCCGGCCTCCGATAGTTAATGCACATGTACCAGGGAGCCCTGGTGTAAGAGGTGGCAGGTGACACATCATATCCCTAAGGACGAGGATATAGTTGTCGAGTACCGTTGACGTCTTGATTCCATGTGTGCGTCAGATGTAAGTAACAAGTTTAAATAATTTAATATTTGTGTATTTACTATTTTTATTAATACATGCCTATTGATACATACAATAGGTGAATTGGACGCCATTTGGGTTGAATATGGCACCTGATGTTGACAAGACCGTCCACCACGAGACTATTCGTTGGATAGATATTGTCGAGCCTTACATGCCCGATAGAGCTTTGCGTCAGTTCGGCTTTGTTCAGATTAGTCCAGCCCCCCTATTCTTCCGCTTCGAGGTGCTAAGAAAGAGAGAAAATTAGCATCTTACAATGTTGACTACTACGAGCCTGGGGATCAGCTTCAGAGTATCCCCACGTGCACATGCTTGATCGAGATTATTATGGTCGTTTGGCGTCTCGGGCTTGGGAGTCGGACGAGCGTTATTTGTCGTGGTATCTCGGCCGTACCCACCCTCGTATAGATCCTAGTTTCGAGCCGGTGGAGAGAGCGGAGCCATCTGCAGTTCTGTTTGTATACGACATCACCCGAGTGCTGCATCCATATTTTTACGATCACTTGTCTCCGCCGACTATTCCAGGATATCGCGCCATACCCGATCATTTCTTCAGGACGATCCACGTAACACCCCTAAATTTTTATTATGTGCTATGATAATAGTTTATACATGTATATTATTGAAGTTTATTCATTAATGAGAGTAATATAGTAATATAGTGAGATTTATGTGGCTGAAGTGTTATTAATAGATAAATCTGGGGTACAAGTATAAATAATAAAACTAGGAAACTTAGCAATCAAGGAAATGATGTGGGTTCAATTATCAGATAATTGAGAAGAAGGGAGATTTTGTTTATTTCAAAAATTGAGAGAGAGACACGTGTCTCGAGGTGTAGAGTCATTAGCGTCTTCTTCCTCTGATAAATACTTCGTTATCTCGTCTCAAACTCCTTCATCACTCCCATTCTTAATCAGCATATAAACTACACCACCCAGAAATTCAAGAGTTTGAATATCAAAAACCATATAAAGAAATAAGAAGTAAGAAGAATCTAAAGTTCAATCGATGGAGAGAAGATGGTGACTTGACGATCTTTCCGGTGGAGTTCCAGCGAGCGGGGTATAGCGTTGGAAAGCCCGCAGTAGAAGCATTAATTCGGTGTAAATTTCTACCAGTTTGATTTGGTGACGGTTGCTCGATTTTGTCAAAGATATTCAACATACTTTTAATTTCATAATCCAATTTGAGGTATTTTGACTTCGAATTTCAATTTCGTTTCTTCATAAAAATCGTTTCCCCAATTTTTATAACCCTTGTTGAAACAGATTTTAACTCTACATCAGCTTCAAAGGAATTTTCGAAAGTCAAACTTGTTGTTTACTCTGATTTTTGGAACACAATTGATTTTTGGAACACAATTTGGGAGCTTTGGAATTCAAATTTTAAAAGCGTTTCTTCTCAAACATCATAGATTTTCTGGAGCATGTTAATTACATGTTGAAGCTCGTTCCATATGATTGAATCCTATAGGCTTTTTGAACGGAGGAATATGGGAGTTGAAGCTGTCAATTCTGGTAGCTCGTATGATTATTCTTTTGGGGTTGTTTCCTATGTATTCGAGTCATAATTTGAGGTCAATGTCTTTTTTTTTTTTTGGTAATGCAGGAACCCGCAGCCAACCATATAGGTGCACTGGGTAAACCTACACTCTCGTATAATAGCTTGCAAACCATACGAGAGATGTAAACCACACTAGGCTAACCATGTGTGACAAGCTCGACCTAGCGACCGTTGGCAAGGGGATTCGAACTTGGGTCAATTGACCCAAGCTCTCTTGCTCCAACCGCTAGGCCACCCTTGCGGGTTGAGGTCAATGTCTTATGTTCATTTGTAGAGGATATCGTTATATTCGATTTGATATATTATTTGTTAAATTTGGATAACATTTCTAATTATTATGATTTTTCAAAACATACTGCCAAAAAAGGGATAATTACAGTTTTGGTCCCCCAAGTTTGTACGTTTTTCACTTTTGGTCCATCATTTACCGGCGTCAACAAAATACACACTAATGTTGTCACATTTGAACATATTTAGTAATCCGGTTGTTTGTCCGTTAAGTAGTAACGGTC